CACTGTCGATCAGCCAGCTCGGCGATCGATCCTTGCCAACAGCGAGTGCAGTATCAGTTATGGCACTGGTGATCACTGAGTCTTCTGACTCATTCACCGTGCTAAATTCGCTAACCGCGAATACTGCACCATCGTCACTCGACCTTGTTCGGGTAGTCCCGCTTCATGTGTCCAACCTGGTCACAACTAAAGGACTTACCCCGGAATCCGCCATTCTTCTTCGCGCCGTTGCCCTTGCGGTTGGTATTCCTGCCGCGTTTGATAAACTTGCCATTTTTTGCCCCTGTCACCATCCGAGGTGACCTATAACGCGCGCTCCGACGTTTCCTTCTATTCCAGTCGCTCGTGCTCTATAAGCAACTTCTCCTTCACCTCGGTCAGCGTAATGTCTTTAGTGTTTCCGATGATCGACGAAGTCAACTCGAACTCGCTGGGCAGGCTGCTCAGCAATATAATCAACTGACGGGCATCGTACAGTGGTTTGCCGAGCGATTGAAGACCTACGATGAGCTCGTCGAATTTGTCGAGGTGCTTTGCCATCTCGCCCCCTTCTCCATCTTGAACTCATGGAGTCGGCGAGTCTTAATCACACGGTTGTGCATCGTGGTCCGGTTATAGAACTCCCGCAGAGTTCCTCACGCTTGAAGCGCCGAGGTCGCCGAGCGAATCTTCGTCTGGTGCTCCAACGACACGCCCTGGGCGATTAAACTGAGCGCCATCGTGTCGTTCAGCAGCCACGCCTCCGTCGTCACTGCTTCCGGCTTCACCGTCTGCACATGGGCCAGCAGTCTCTTCCTATCAGCGTCATGCGCATGATGAACTCCCAGTGGAAGTAGTTGTTGCTTCCCAGGAGGACTTCGGCCTTCTTCGTCGATATCGAGGTGGCGTCTTGTAGCTCGAGAGTCTTGTGCGGCTGTTAATCTGTTGAGCAGTGGAGGGCAAATGCCGAGGTGAAATAGCTAGCAGCTACACAATCTGCCTTCCTACATGTCCGTAGCTACCTTTTTGTGCGCCCTTCTTGTTCCGTGTTCCTCTGCAGCAGCAGCCTCTCCCTGCGACACCCCGACAAGATGAATGGTCGCGGGGGGGGGGTTGGATGTGATCCAATCACATCCAGCACTCAATCCATTATCTCCCAATAAGAACTTGCCATACGTGAATCGCCAATCCCAGTCATCAATCGATGAGTCCTTGACTCGTCCAGCTCTCATTGCGCGGCACCACTTCAACAACCTATCTTTTTTTCTTTCCAAGCCCTCCACAGGAGACTGGATACTAGCATGTTCGCCCTTTCTTTTGTCTTGATTTAACCTTTAATGGGTAGCGGGCATTCAAAATTTATGATCCGCGTGTTTCATTCACGCTCTTGACAACAAAAATGTTTTAAACGAATGTATTTGGGTTCAATGAGGTCAACACTAGCTTACCACAGCGGTTCTCGTAAGACTGTTACAAGTAAAAGAAATTATTCGTTTCTTAGAGTCGGTCTCAAGGTGAGCTAATTAAATGCGACAGGATTAGTTAGATACGGAAATAAGCCATCTTAGTTCACGGACTGAATATTGCATCACAATACACTGGCTCGTACCAAGTGGGCAATGAGACTCCATTTACATTTACTTCGTAACGAGCAAAACGCATATTTGGTGAGAAGGAGTAAAGCTCCCAGCTAGCGTCGCCTTTATGTGTTAGACAGGCTTGCACGTGGACAAATAATAAGCTCAATACACCTACCATTTTTTTACGCAAATGAAATTTAAAAAATATATACGGTTGAAGAACAAGAGCGTTTTAATTTTGTACAGTGCTCTATTTCCAAATAATTGATATCATCAATTCAGAAACAGTGATTCCCCGGTGACACTTAATTGGCTCGTGTTCAGCTATTCAGGCCAAAATTTATACAAATCAACTATTGACGATTTTTTCATTCATTGTCTTGCGAACATCGAGAATTTGTATGTGGAGAACAGCATTAAGCAATTGTGAGCAGTACTTGGGAGTATGAGCTTCGACAAGTCGTTCGCCAATCAAGAAAAGAGTGATTCTGGCGTCAGGATAAATTTTTCCCCTTATGCCTCATTAAAAAGCATGTCCTGTGGGCAGATTTCGGAAATAATAAGAAATTTGTAGATTGCTATCAAACAGACAAAAGAAAGTTGTTCGTCCTGACCATCTACTTGCCCAAGTATTTCTTAAATTATATCAACATGATGCGACCCCTCGCTAACTTCAATAAGATTGTGTATCGGGCTACAGTAGCCATGACATGGAGGTAAATCTATGTACTTCTGCATGCATTGTAGGGAATCATAAAGAAGATTACAATATTTTGTTCCCAAATGCGTTTGTGATATCTTATATGAAGTCCCAGCAATTCTGTGTGATACAGGATGTTGGTTCCTACTTGGGATCTGTACTGTTGACGAGACCAACTTTCTCTGTCTTTCGAAGTGGGTAACGAAAGCCAGTCCCTTCTACTAGGTACTTTCCATGAAAGTTGAAGCTCAAGCAATTCGAAGCTCAAGCTCCATACACCCAAAATCTTTTATATTTTGAAGCTGAAATTCAAATTCAGTGCGCCCTAGATTTATAAATCAGGGGCTAAAAACTTTATCAGCGAGGTCTCTAGGTGTAACAGGGTAACACATACTCTTCTAACAGGGGTGTGTATCACACCAGAAGGGAATGGTGCGACCACACCCAAACAAGAATACGGGGCTGGGTAGCCGCTAAACATATTTAAGAAAATCTATGCACTTAAAATTAGCCGGCTTGCCACAGATAAAAATAAATAAAGTCAGTTTTTGAATTTGACGAAGAGTTAACTAACCTTGGGTTAAGGCTATAATTACTCTTGGAGTAAGCGGATTGCGATTTGCTATATTCGTACTTGTTCTGAGTATAGAACGAGAGGTCGGTGACCTAACTTACGCTTCCTCGAAGCGCAAAGCTACGGCAGCCCCGCTGCACTAGGTGCTCTTGGGGTGTTTTGCATGTAGCTACAAACCATGACTCATTTCGATTCTGTTGCAAATTTACCTATGAGGTGTTAAGTCGTGCTTCTTTCCTCTATGTCGGGACTGTCCTTCTCTCCCCACATCGGCAAACGCTTCTCTGCTGCATAAGCGTGTGTGTTGTGTTTCAGGGACTGTTTGTGAGCAGCGTTCTCTTACACCTGGTTGCACTTCGAGCGGTTATTTCAAGGACACTCAACTTTGATTTGTCGACGCGGCCGTTTAGCTCGTTGCGCATTGTAGTCCAAGCCCAAACTATCCACTTGTTCTTGTCCGAGCGACCTGGAAGGCGTTGGGATACCGATCGGTAAATCAGTACCGCAATCTTTGGTGTTGACGAATGAGATGCTTCCTCATTTGTTTGGATGGTACTCGAGCGGATGCGAGAAGTCATTTGAGACACTACTGTAGTCGGTTTATTTCAATTGTCTTTTGTGGATGATCAGAAGAACGCGGCTGTCAATTCCATGGATCATGAGAATATGGAAAGCATGAAAGCGGATAGCGACCCCTGTTGATTCGCACAGAACAATGCCTCTGAAGATAAACATGTATCTGTACCGCTGTGGAGTAAAGAGTCTCTCTCACGATGATTTGTCAAGCTGGATGTAGCTATCACGGCGAGACAAATGCGAGACCCTTGCAGCAAGTGCTGCTCACAATACCAACCTTGCGGGTCGCTCAAAATATTGGGCTCAGAGAAAGCGTTTAGCCCATCTAAACTGCTTTCTCGGCTACGAAAAACTCAAAAGGCGAGCTAAAAAAGGCTTTGAATCACCACAAGGTAAGTCCGTCCTCTTGCCGAGATCTTGAAGCCTCATCAAGGTCGTTACGACCTACGCTCGAGTGCACCGCTTGCTCGATATCCGAGTTTGACGGATGATCGCGCCTATAGAAGCGCGTTGATGGTTATCCGCTTGTTTTCAGGATGACGAGTCGATCAATCCTTGTGATCGACAATCGTCTCAACCACCACCACGAGAGTCTAAAAGCCGAGGTGGGTTTGAGCGAGAAAACAATTGATCGACTCTGCAAGTAGAAGATCGCTCATCGCGGGCAATTTAGGGCATTGCAGCAGCATTACACGACGCTTCAAGATCGCTACGAGAGCCTTCTTGCCTTGTTGCAGAGAAGAACTCGAAAATCGACGTTCCGACTTTGGGGTCTGTTATGAACTACAATTTTAACAAGTTCTTGTTAGACTCCAATAGGACTAGAAGTGTCGTGAGGTGGCTCACGATCACTTGTTGCGCTCTGTCAAATAGTAGGCTCTGTTTTCGAGGTACTTTGTGGTGAGTACCATTCTCGAATTCAAGCGTTGGGACCATTGAAGAAACGATCCTTTGATGTCCTTCTACGCTTGTACGCCGAGAATAATCTCCAGGAGGAATGATTAGTTGCTCTTCGTGGACAAATGGAGTAGCTTCATGATCAGCTCGATTTTCTACTATAGATATAATTGATTCGGCAGATCTACTGGGAATATACGACTTTAGCCTACTCACATTAGGCTGGATGTAGGTGCATGCGTTTAGGGATGTATACAAATCAACATTGCATTCCAACACCTTGAGCGGTTCAATGAATGTTAGAAAAGGCTTTCTGCTTCCCGAATCTGATACTGCATGTTCAGATAGATCGGTCGTTTTAAGTAGTACAAGACCATTGATCTTACGTACCTTATTAATCTTTCTTCCGCTCTTATCTATTTGATTTTTCTGCAGATTCTGAGTTTTCTAAATTACGCCTCGAACAAATCTCACAACGGCTTGTCTCTTCAGTATAATCTCATCGACGTGCTATTCTTCACGACTTATCATGTCGTCTAGAGGTCTCATTGAGTAAACTCGATGGCAGCATTTAGGTTTGACTGATGGCGAATGACCTGTCGAGAATGCGCGGAGATGTTCAACTCAAACTCTGCAAGAGGGAGGATTTTTCTCCACTCTTTGAGCGACGAAGCGTAACTACACAGTACGTCCTTCAGGACTCGACCCACACGCTCTGTTCAAATGTCTTTTTTAGGGTGTGCCGCTATTGACTTGGACAATTTGGTGTCTAATAGTCCAAACAGTGCACACCAAAACTTCGACGTGAACGTGTGTCACAATCAGACACGATCTCAACAGGAGGTCATGCAAAACAACAACTACAAAGACTTGAGATGTTTTCTAGACTAAGATCTTATCCGAAACAGGCACAAGATGAACCATCTTGCTGAGTCAGTCCACTAACATTAGGATGCCATTGCGTCTATGTGTGTCATGCGAAAGTTATAAATTCCATAGTCACAGACGTTCAGCTGTCCGTTGGCCCTGCCGATGACTGAAGTGGGGCCTTAGTGGTACCTTTTAATCAGATTTTTCATTAAATTTTAAGATGACGGCTTAAATATCTGGCAAATCTCACAAGTCCTGAGCACCCAGTTTTATATGTGTGGTAAGTAGTAATCCCGGGATAGAAGGGATGTTTGAAATACCTTAACAAGTCCTAACATGTCGCATCAAAATTATACTTTTCGACAATCTCTTCGGCACTGTAGTCGCTGCTTGCACTCTGATCATCTGCACATCTTCGCAATGTCGACATGACTCATGCATGTGGTCGATCCCGGACTTTAGTGTATAATCCGGACGTATCGGCAAGATTTCGTCTTGCCTGGCTTGTAGTGTACAACAAAGTTGTACTCCGCAAAGAAGGGAAACCATCGAGTCATTCTTTGCGATAAGTCAGGGGA